AATAATAAATTCCTAAGAGGAAACATTTTTAAAAAGGGAAAAAATAAGTTTTTTTCTGTTACACATAAACTTTGAATAAGAACCTTTATTTCCAATGGACAGTTTGTAAAAACCCGTAAAGCATTAAAGACAAATTAGCAGTAATGCCTAACCTTGGACTCTCCAGACTGATAACATTTTATTAAATATGATAAACTACTAATAAACAACTCGAAAAACTCAATAAATATAAATAATATAACTATAAACAAGAAACATGCTTTTCAGTATACTTGGAGCTTTTCTAACATTTTACTTCTTTAAAAGAAGCCCTAAAACACTCGACATTCTTTAAATGTCAGGTAGGTGAGGTCTTATTGTTATTGTCAGAAGTTAAATGTCAGAAATTAAAATTTTAAAATGACAAAGATGAGTGTTTGATGAAAAGCTTTTAATGCCTATCTTATGAAACACTGACGCATTGATCATTTCCATTAATCTCCAAACAAAGTTTAGATCTGAAGTTCAGCCCGTCCAACAGTCACCTGAGCGGACGCTGCTCGGCTGCTGCAGCTCAAACCTCACGCAGGCCTCGTCCAGGTGCTGAGGTCGCAGTTTAAAGGTCGACCTGAAGTTGAAGTAGGGGTCATTTTCACCTTTCACCACACAGCTGCGCTTCATCTTCACCACCTGAGTGTGCTTTTGTAAGCTCACCTGGACACACACACCTTAGAAACACACACAGGTGCTGTATTACCGGACATTCCTTTGGTCATAAGCAGATTTATCTCATACTTTCTTTCTTTTGTAGATAAACAGTGGATTTGTGTACTCCACACAAGCTCCATCCATAACCATAAATCAGCTCGTACCTGCGTCTGTGAGCAGCTGTATGCCTCGAGCCCTCAAAACCACCACTGAAAGGCGCTGCAGGGATGTACTGTAGCTGAGAGATATCTGCACATCCCCCAGCTCTGAACACTGACAAGCACAGCAATCATGAACTTTTAGCTTTGCACTCGTGTGTGTGTGTGTGTGTGTGTGTGTGTGTGGTTGTTTGGTGTGTACCTGTGGGTCTTCCTCAGTCTCAAGGTCTCTCCAGAGCACCCTGCCAGCCTGACCGAACTCCCCCTCCAGAGAAAACAGCACCCTACCCACCACATGGCGTTTACCATCCTGCTCCACACTCAGCACACACACACTCAGGGTGCTGTGAAGCACATGCAACGCTGACACCTGTGGAGCCAATGCACTCATTCCTCAACATCAAAAAGCAGATTTCATTTATCCACAATATTTATCTGAGCTATGACCTCAGTCAGTCTTTCTCTGTGTACTGAATGAACTCTGATAAATTGTTGTTCTTAGTATTTAATCACTGCAGAATGGGAACAATACTGTTGCCAATACAGACATTAGACCTTCACCCATGATTCTGAAGTCAAGTGTGAAATTGCACAGACTGCGTTCAGTTTTGTTGCTCCTAACTCCCAACGCTCCCTTTAAACTTTCAGAGAATGATATCCTTCAAGCATTTTCTGATCATTATACTAAAAATTAGAAAAATCTCTGTGCCCAACTGACTCTCCATCTCTTCTTCCTCTCTCTCAGTGGGTGTATTACTTGGGACCTGGGTATCAGTATTTGTCCCCTTTCACATCTCCAGTCAAAACATTATAAAAACATAAATGATATCAGCTTTAAATAAAAGTTAAGGAAATCATTTTTGTCTTCTCTTTTGTCTCTAACTTCTAGATGTGAACTTCTGGAAACTTTTCTGCCCTCACCTGGAAAATGAAGCAGTCGGTGAACTCGGGGTCTGGACCCGTGCCCCGGGCCTTGGCTTGACGGGGCCGCCTGTCATCAGGGAGAAGTCTGAGCTCCACCATCGTGACGTTGCCATGGAAACGTGGAGGGAGGTTGCTGAGGCGGAGCAAGAAGACCATGAGCTGTTCGCTGCTGTGTCGATATTCCACGGAGAAGCAGAGGCGGGAGACCATGCCGGGAGGGGGGGCCACCACCTCATTTAGAGGAGGTACAGAGTAGAGACCAGCCAAAACCGTCCCCACTGGGTACCAGCCTGAAGGAAACAGCAAAATATCACAGTTTTTCTTCAACTTAATGAAAGCTATGTGATACTTTGGTGTAATTGTCAGGCCCAGGACTGGCCCTGTTGGTTTGAAGGAGTGTAGGTGAGCTGGTCCCCCCCAAAGCGCCACATCTGTCCAGACTGAAACGTCTTAACAACAATAATATTTTCTTCAGGTGATCGTAGGTGAATGCTCTTATTATCCTCTTATGTTTCCACAAGCATAAAACCAGCACCAACAAAGTGGCTCTAACTGTCTTGATACGCTGTCATATAAAAAGAAGCAATGACCTACTCCTCACTGAGAGCGACCCACGATGAGCCAGTACGTCCCGCTGGGGATCCTCCTCCTCTTTCTTGTCCTGCTCGTTATTTTTCCGATCTCCATGGTTTTGTGTGATGAAGCGAGGAGGTAGAGTGAAAGCGATCTCACGGGGCCTTCCACACATAGAGACAAATAATATTAAATGAGTGTTGAGTGGTGCTGCAACTGCCTTTAGCAAATAGCTGTCAGTGGTCAGAGATGTCAGTAAAAGTCTGACTAAATTCCTCACAAACTGAAAATAATAGACGCTCTCGTTCTCACACAAAAAATCTTGGAAAAAAAGGGAAATATGGGCTATTAAACAACATCTGTTAAAAACTAGAAACAAGATCTAACAGATAAAGACTTAAACATATACTAGCAAATAGAAGATATGCTGGCTTTATGTCGTGAAATACATTTTTAATCTTTAGTCTATAAAGATTGATATTTTCTCAGTACTCATGGGCCCAATCACAACCCAAATTGTTATAGTTTTGTCACTGAGTTTTAGTGTTAGTGTGCTGGCAAACACCTGCTGAAGAACTCAAATCTGCCTTAGTGATTCCTGTTACAGGAGGTATCTCCAGGACCACACAGATTCACAAGGACAAACCAATATGAGCCATAGTGTAATACTGGGAACCACCTGCAATCTCTGATGAGGACCGTGTGATAAAGCGGAAAGCCTCTGAGTCTTATTAATATGTAATATTTTTTTAATTTATAAATTAATGCTTCAAGAGCCCGTATGTAGATATTTTATGTAAAATGCTCACTAACGTGGCCCAGGAGCCCTGAGACACCAGGATCACTGGAGCAGAGCATGCCGGGACTGAAGGCACTGCAGAGAGCAGCTCTTCATACTGCATCTGCTCTTTTTTCCTCCTCCTTAGGTAGCACACTATCAGAATCAGCAGCAGGAACAGCAACAGGACACCCACAGACAGACCAACAGCAAGCTGTAACATGTGATCTGAACAAAACACAAAGAGGAGGAACGATAGGGTGTAATACAGGTGTATCACAGGCAGTAGGTTTAATCTAGATTCCTGCTCACCAGCCATGAAGAGGTCAGCTCCAACACGTGAATAACTTTTCTTTCCTTGTCAGCTTTGACTCAGACAGACTCACCAGGAATGAAGCTACTGCTTAGCATTCATTGTTAATGTGAGAGGTTACCGTTTGTGACTCCGCAGAGCTGTGAGGGTGCGACACATCTGGCTGGTTCCCATGCTGTTATATGCATGGCCGGATTAATCTCCTGAGGACCCACCGGGCAAAAATTTGCCGTTGGGCTCCAGTGGAGCCTCAAATTAATTCTAAGTTAAATTAATTCACCAAACAACCGGAAACTAACTTGAGCTTTAGAGTGGAATTTATTTGTTAATTGTTTGCTTTGCATAAATTAAAAGATGAAACATTTAATAAATGGTTTTGTCTCATTTTTTCCTTGCAGAGAGACATTTTTTCGTTGGGTTTGATGGTGCTTTCTGGTTTTAAGGATTTATTTTTGTTCTTGTTCATTGTCAGAACTGACAGTCTTTTGTGATCCAGCTTAGAGACTGGCAACTACTGGCATTCATTAACTTCCTTAGTGAGCCATTGCTTCAGTTTTACACATGAAGGTCAGTTTCCCAACCATGACAAGCACCCAGTCATGCAAAATTGCAGATCTGGAAGAGTGTCCTTAAAAAACGTCACGAAAAAAAACCCTGTTAATGTCATCAAGCTGTTAGCTGTGTTGTGGTAAATTATTCTTAGAATAAGTCAGGATATTTTGGTCTCAGCTGCATTTCTCTTGTTTGTGTCTCTCTTATTTAAGTGCTGAAGTGACTCTGCTGCATCACATCCTAAAACAAGACTATGTCTTCTGTTCTTTTGATCCTTTATTAGACTTTGAATCTGAGGGAACTTGTTTTATTCAAAGAATTATCCAACCTAGTGTCACTGGGGGCTCTGTAGTACCTCATAGCTAATATAAGAGTAGCAACAGTAAGGTCCATGAGATTTTGGATAATGGCAGGATTTTTGTGATTTCTCCGTACACCTCTACAGTTGAGTTTAAATCAAACAATCAGTATGTGACTCCCAGGCGCCCTTAAGTATTCTCAAGGGGATAAAAAGATGGTCCAATGTTCCAGCACCAGGACAAAAACCACATTGTTCCTCCTGAATCTGAGGTTCAACTGGTGAACCAGGGATTCATTTCAGAGTGACTGTAGCTCAGGAGGTAGAGCAGACCATCTACTAATCAAAAGGCTGGTTGGTGAGTCTGCATGCCAAATACCCTTGGGCTAGATACTAACCGATTATCATTCAAAGTATGAATGTGTGTGAATGTCAGATAGAAAGCACTTGTGCATTTATGCAGAAAAAGCACTTCATACTCAAAGTATAAAGTGCTTTGAGTGCTCAAGTAAAGTAGAAAAGCACTATATAAGAACCAGTTCATTTACCAATAACTATTCAACTCTTCTCCAGCACCCTGCCTCAGACTTTGCCGGGGGGGCAGACATCTTAAAGATGTCTTGGATAACCTTATCTACCTTATCTACCCCAGGGGCTCTGCCACTGAGCAGTTGTTTAACTGCATCAGTAACCTCACCCCAACAAGAAGCGGATGGTCACTCTCTTTCCCAGATTCTGGTTCCATTGCAGAAGGCAAGGCAGTGGGATTGAGGAGTTCCTTAGTGTTCCTTTAACTGCCTGATTACATTCTTAGTTGAAATCAGCAGCATCCCACCCCACTATATACAGTTTGATTAGAACATTGCTTTATCCTGAAATGAAGATCTTGTGGAAGGGGCCTCTGCACTGCCCTTAAAATGTGGTATCAACATTCATGATATAAGAAAGGTGACTGATTTTAATGAAAACACCCGACTTTACCTTTGTAACCATTAGGAGCTCAAAGTTTCTACGCATTCTGTAAAATATATCTCTCGAATGGTTGACTTTTGAACATAATTAATTTAAACATCTATATGATTTCTTTTGCTCGTACAATAGTCTGCACACACACACACAATGGTGGTCATGACAGCTGGCCTGACCTTAACTCAGAATCAAAATAAGCCACTTGCTTACCCACTGATCACTTACACACACGCATTCATCCACACGCTCAGACTGCTCAGAGATTGGACGGCAGCTAATAAGATGACCGTTAATCTTCTGGGCTAAAGGTAGAGTAATGGCCCCCTCTGTTTCCCCCACACGTCAACATACCAAAGAACTCAAATTCACAAAAGGAAATCATCACATTTACACCGATGCCAGCTTCAAATGAAGTCCAGCTAAGACAGAGAGGGAGATTAAGCTTGAGCAAATTGACAACAGACAGACACAGAGTGCGAAGCTGTGGGTTGTTTTAATGCTAGAGACAGCAAAGGTGATCTTATTAAGAAGTGAGGGAGGAAGAGAGGGGAAGGAATGAGGGGAGGAAGGAAAGACACCATTTAGGGCTACCCGCTCTGTGGCATGGCAGAGGCTAAAACAGGACATAACTTGTGAACTTAAAGGTAGGACTTTACTATTTGTTTTTTTCTGTCTTATGTAATACTGTTTTGTTTATGTGAATAACCATTATGGGTAACTAAGAGTTTATGTTGTGCAGATTAGGTAGTCTGGGTACCATCGGGTCAGTTGTGGTCTAAATACTACTAGGTCAGTTTGGGACAGAGCTGGACAGAGTAGTGAAAGGTAGTGAAATAAGAATGCAGGCTTTTTTTTTTTATCAGAAATAGTAGCATTATAGTTATGAATCATGAATGAATAGAAGAAAAAAAGAGGAAAAGCACGAACAAATCAAAGATTTAAAAAAGGTTGATTGTAATTTATTCTAAACTCCACCATCCACTGTAGTTATCATTCTTTGTCTCTTTCGGGTCTTTGTTAAATGAGTCCCAAACAGGCTTTGTAGTTCCGTCTCAAACAATTTACCCTTTGTCTCGTTGACCAAATAATCTGGATTGTGTAATCTTATTTGGCTAATCTGGAGTGCCTGCGGATGTGTGGGGGTGAGCATATACGTGCACTCAGTGCGAGCATCGGCCTTCTCATCCAAGTCTTGGCATGCATTTCCTAAACTGTTGAATTTAGTTTTAGTAAGGTGGTCAGATGTGATGTTTTCAATAATGAACTGTATCATGTGACATTATGACAATCTGCAGCTTCCCTTGACTCTATGGAGCTGTACAAGTACCAAACTTGGTACCTGTAAGGGGGCTAAACACATAAAACTAGAGTTACACCCACTACCTACTTTTTTGAGTGGTTAGTTGGGGAACAATTTTTCTACTTCTCTACTAGAATCAAAATAAGCTACTTATTTTAACCTACATATCCATGAATTTAAACTGTAATTTGAGTATGACACCATAAATAATACACATTGTTCCAAACAACCTGCTATGCCTGCAAATAGCTTTTTGACTGATGACCAATGACTTTTACTAACTGAATGTTTAAATCATCATAAGTGTCCTGACATCACTGCACAGAGTTGTTAATTATTGTTGAAAATTCTGACATTTAACACTGAAATGTTTGATTAAGAAACACACACAAGACTAGTTCAATTCAATTCAACTTTATTTATACAGCACCAAATCACAACAACAGTCGCCTCAAGGTGCTTTATATTGTAAGGTAGACCCTACAATAATACATACAGAGAAAAAACCCAACAATCATATGACCCCTGTGAGCAAGCACTCTGGCGACAGTGGGAAGGAAAAACTCCCTTTTAACAGGAAGAAACCTCCGGCAGAACCAGGCTCAGGGAGGGGCGGGGCCATCTGCTGCGACCAGTTGGGGTGAGAGAAGGAAGACAGTAGTTTCAACTATTTATAAGAAAAATAATCAAAATATAGTAAAGTGACTTTGATTGAGTAATCAACAGGGTATTTAGTCATGTGTAAACTATTACATTGCAAAAATAACCTTCCCAACAATGGTGATGATACTGTATGTCAGTATTGTGTCATAGAAGTGTTGCTGCTTCCCTCTTAGTGGCCAATACTTTTGCATCAGTGAAAAACAGTGAATTAATGTTAAAAGGTGTGTCTTCCCAAACAGGTTAGTGCCGTTACCATGGCGAGGGCTGGGCGCCCTGCATCTGAGAGCTACCAGCCAGCTTGCTTTTCTGTCAGTCAGTCGCTCTCTTACTCCAGTGGAGCTCCAAAGGTGGAGGATGAAGATGATCAGGCACCGATTTTCTCCCTCTCTAAGAGCTCCATGGATGTTTTAATGGCTGCAAGTCCGCCACACAAGCGTGATCCAGCGTGGACCAGACTGGACCTGAGGCGCAGCTCAAGCACAAACACCCACTATGAGCAGAACTCCGTGACACTGCAGCCGCTGCACGCTTACATGTGGCAACATGTCAACACCACCAACAGCCACCAGTTAGCATCCACAACCAATAATGTTGACATCAATAGCTCTCCTGCTCTCAGCGAGCATTGGGTTTCCAACATGCAGCGATGGAGCGGGTGTAGCGGTAGCACACATAGCCGCAGCAGCACTCCGGACACAGTCGTGTCACGCCCCTCCAGTCTCACCCATGAAGCCACTTGTTCTGCAGCACCAGATTCTCCGATGTCCAAACTGACCTCTCCAGAAACCACACCCTCACCGTTCATCTCCCCGCTCAACACGCCTACTTTACCACCTGTACAGACTTCTTCTTCACCACTTCCACTGAACTCACTGCAGGAGGAAGATTTACTAGAACTTTCACCTACATTCTCATCCCCAAAGATTGACAACTCTTCAAGCTTTCAGTCCCACTCTCCTGAAACACTCCAGCTCACCAGCACAGAAGATGAAGGCTTCTTGGAGAATAATTCCCTTTCATTTCAGTTCCCTTCCCCAATCCTGTCCTCTGTTAGTTTAGATGAAGCAGGAGTGTCTTCAAATCCCGAATGCCTTGTTGATGACGTGATAGAACCGCTGTCCAGCCCTACAGGAATACTGGAGGGTGAAGAAGCAAGAAGCCCTGTGCAAATACTTAGCTACCTGACACCTGATTCTCCAAAGCAGCAGTCAAAAACAGGACCATCTGTCTGCTATCTTGAGCTGCCGTGGCAGCCAGAGCAAATCTGTGCAACAGGTCGAGGTTGGGGGTCACCACTTGTCTCTTCCCTGAGTGACTCACGGTTGGGTGACACTTGCAGGTGCTGCTTAAAT